TTTAAGGGAAACAGGGTTTTTCCCAGGAAAGGTAATTTCTGTTTTTTCTGCTAACCCGACTTTGTCTGGTTTTTTCGTGCTATACCTATTATACCCTTTTTACTACTTCGATTATCACTTTATACCTGGTGTTTTCGTGCTGGTTATTTTTTGAAGGAGTGGCCTGTCGGACATCAGTCACAATAGAGTTTCTTGGAAATTGCGTAGCCTGTCAGAATGACAGTCACAGAGAAGTTTTCTTGTTTTTTAAATGTTTTTGTTAGTCGATTTTTGATAGTTTATAGCCTGTTGGACGGCAGTAATGGTTTCTTGTTTATGAGTGGCCTGTCGGGCAATAGTCACAATAGGGTTTTTTCTTGTGGCCTGTTGGAACGACAGTCAGGAGATATTTTTGTGTGTTGACAGAGTTGACCCCATATTTAGCATCAAGAGAACTGTTAGCGGCTTCTGGCATGGATGGAGCTATCGAGAAGGACGGCACCAACCTGCTTGGATATGATAGCTAGAGAACATAAGGTAAAGGCTTGGAGGACCCAGCAATCAAATGATCGTAGAGGGAATCAAGAGGGCTACTTCTTGCAAGAAGGGTGAATCTAAGTGGCCTGGGGCCTCTATGTGGGTCTGTGATTGTGAAGTACATTGATCCGGTATCAGTATAGAGTTATAGAGCTATATAAGCAGTACAAGTGGACATAGGGCAGTTAGTACCACCGAGATGAGAGTGATGGGCTTTGTTTAGTGGAGGAAGTAAGTGTTAGTTAGTATTTAAGAGGAATGGATTTGTTTCCAGAAAAGGTAGCTTCTGTCAAGGAACCCAAGGGTAAGGAGGTAGTTTGCTATTTGTGTAAAGAAAAGGTTTTCGTCAATAAGTGTGCTGCGAAAAAGTATCTTGGATTGAGATGGGCCCAGTCAGGAAGTAGTTGACCACACTCGGTAATTCGCGGCAGATGGTTTTATGTAGTGCTGTAGTAAGAGTTTTAAGTGTACAGAGAACACACTACCTACGTAGCGATACTCTGCAAGACCCATAGTTTGTTTTTCTTCGTTTTTTCTTCTTTGTTTTCTATTTGTAACACCCGTCGATGAGAGACAAAATTAGCTGCCGATACGAAAGTATCGGAGCAGCCTTTTGTCTCGAATCGGTCACGGGTTGATCGTCTGTTTGATGCATTGTTTGATATATCGTATGATGTCGTTATGAGCTTATTGTCTCGATTTATTGCCTGATGCATTGTGTGATTATACAATGACATCTTTTTTTTTTGGGATTAGTAATAGTTAGTAGTATTTAAGGGAAACAGGGTTTTTCCCAGGAAAGGTAATTTCTGTTTTTTCTGCTAACCCGACTTTGTCTGGTTTTTTCGCCCCACCCTACCCGGCCCTCGTACATAATCGCACAGCGACTTGATGGTCTATTTCCGGGTGATGCTTATTGTTTTGATTAATAATCGCTAGTAGTATTTAAGGGAAACGGAGTTTTTTCCCATGAAAGGTAATTTCTGTTTTCTGTTTTCTGCTAACCTGACTGTCTGGTTTTTTTCGCCCACCCTACTGGCCCTTGTATATGACTTGATGGTCTATTTGAGAACCCACCAGGTTGACGCTTATTGTTTTATGGCCTGTCGGACGATAGTTATATATTTAGTTAGGGTGGCCTGTCAAGTTTTCTTAAGTTTTTTGTGTATATTGAAGCAGCCTGCCAAGACGGCAGATGTGAAGAAATTTCTTGTGCGTTTAAGTGGCCTGTCGAGACGACAGTCACTTAAAATTTGTGTTTTTAGTTTTAGAGTAATCGTAGGGGAACTTGAGTTTTTTCCAGATGGAGTTATCTGGTTTTTTTCGCCCACCCCCTGTGATATACAAAAGTTTTTGCGTTGAAGTGACCTGTCAGGACAACAGTCACATTTCGAGTTTTTATATAAACGGCCTGTCGGGACAACAGTCGTTTCAAGCAGTTAAAGGTGGCCTGTCAAGACGACAGTCACAGAAAATTTTGGTTGTGGCAGGGTTTTTTCCAGTGTGATTCTGGTTTTTTTTGCCCCACCCGCCAATTTTGCCCCCATAGTAGCATAGTTTTTCTTTATATGATACTTTCGAAGTCTGTATTGTTAGTACACTTTAGCACATAGCGGAAGGGACAGATAACCCATAGTTTGTTTTTCTTCGTTTTTTCTTCTTTGTTTTCTATTTGTAACACCCGTCGATGAGAGACAAAATATCAGCGGATTTGTGGAATTTTGATAAATGCTCTGATCAAATTTGTAGATCACTTGGCCTGGTTTGAAATTATTTGGCTTCAAAGCTGGCCAAATGATCTGCAAATTTGATCAGAGCATTTATCAAATCCGTGTATCATAATGATTGTTTTACAGATCGTTATAACGATAATGTCAATGTTATTAAATTTCCGTTCGAATGCTTGTCCAATGCGTTTGGTGTGTTTAGTTTGAGTGAAAATTCATGGGAAAGAATTCTGTCGAATAATAAATCTTGACAAGAAATATAAAAACGGCACCGGATATAAAATAAACTTTTATAATAAACATTACACAAATAGGTATAATATTAAAAAGATAAACATATTTTACATCGTTCATGTTTAGAATTAGTAAACGTAGTTTTCTTAGAAGTGACGGAAATTTTCGATATGTTCATATCTTTGAAAGTGCTTGAGAACTCGATTTATAGATCTGCTAACCAATGATACAAATCTTAAGTTGAAAAATCGATTAGTTGAACAAGTTTACAACTAATCGATTCTATTTTTTAAAACAACTTATTCGATTATTGCGGTTTGCAAAAAAATGTGAAATTTGCAGATCAAAAAAAAAAAGGAAATCGATGATTTCTGATATATGTATTTATTTAGCATACATACATTTTTTTAAAAAAAAATCATTTCTAATAACTAAAATTATTATCCCGGAACATGCTTTGGATGCACAAATGTCTTTTCTATCAACTTCTAAAATTTATTGTAATGAAAATATAAGTTATACTAAAGTTCCTTAGCAATAACATGTAATAATCCTTATAAGATTGAATTTAGTGCAGCTTTTAAATTTTCTTCTTGCTTATCATGCAATAGTAAATTT